CCTTTCTGCCTTCATTTTTTATAGGCTCATCTTCGCCCGATGTTCTAGGCTTAGCCATTATAGAGCAAGTATATGTATTTCCTTTGATTAGTTCAGCCAAATATATTTCATTTTGGTCAAAATATTCGTCATTAATGGCAGGAACGTCAAAATTTGGGTCTCTATAATAAGTTATCTTGCTATAATTTTTTATTTGTTCTTCTTCTCTTATTAATCGTTCATACCTAATCACGTTTGTGCTCAATTGGAAAAGATCTGGAAATTCCATATCATGGGACTTCTTTTTTAGATCGAAGTTTAGACAGTTTTAAGCGATTTTGACAAATTTCTTTTCGGGTAGAGGCACAAAACACTTACTTCTTGCTATTTTGAACTTTTGAAGGAAACCTTCTGCCCATTCATTTGGCATTTGACGTAGATTCGCCAAATCGGCCAAAGTAACTTCAGATTCAGTCTTGTAAAACTAAGCATGAAACAATTATTCCAATTGTTGCCATGTTTGAATAGAGTTTGCTGGCAAGTTAATAAACTAGTAGAAGGCTACTCATGTTAATGAACTATGGAATAACCTCATTTTATGATAGTCGATTTTTTCACCACTCTGCAGTGTGAATCGCCCTATGTGTTCTAGAATAGATACTTCCCCTAAACCAGTGAATAATGAAAATTCTGGCACCTTGTACCCTCTAGGCCATGGATATGCTTGATTTATCCAATCGGGATATGGCTTCGTATAAGTAAGCCTGATGACAGAACGTACCCCAAGAGCCATTTGATCCTGCACTATCTCCATGATTTGATTCCTCAACATGACATTGGGATCATATAGAATTCATATGGGTTGGTTTAATAGTTGATTCGCTTGAGGCCTAACATTTGGTCCTTGGTTGGCAACAAAATTGTCATTGTTTGGGCCATTATTACCATTGAATTGAGTGTTTAAATCATCATTAATACGCGGGGCGTTCTGACTATCATTCAGGACATTATCTCTTATAATTGAATTACCTCCGAGGTTAATAATCTCATTACCACCATTCGAATCTGACATCTCACTATCCCCCTGGTTCGAAGTAGATGAACCAAAGGGTGGCTCTAGTTCTTGATTTAAATTCAAACCAGAAGAATTATGTAGTGAATTATGTCCCAATTTTGTCCTGGTTTGAAAATGGTTTGCAACAGGCATAACTGACTGACACATTTGGCCTACCAACTTGTTCATTATCTCATTTAGCGTATTCAGTTGTTTGGCCATATTATCATAATGTGCATTCCCACTTTGGGTAAATCTTTCTATATTATGAACGTTTCGTAGATTTACCTGTTCAATGACATTCTATGTGAGTTCTCCGAGCAATGCATGCATGGTTCGATGACTCAACTCTGTCATTGGTTTGTAACGACTGTAATTGCTTTGACTTTGTCCCTCTATTTGTAGAAAGTTTTGCTACTCCTCATATTGCTCGATTATAGACTGGACTACTCCCTGACTTACTGGTTTTTTATCCGAATGTTTATGAGGCATGATGCTTCACTTGTTGTATCTTCAACACTAAACATCAATGTCCCATCGGGCGTGCCAAATTGTTCCACGTGGGTAGTAGCTAACAAATAAAAGGAAATTCAGACGATTGTGTAAGGGACAAACCTCTTGAGACAAAGTCCCAAAAAGGGGTTAATGAAAGTTACAGTTTGAACTAAACAGAATGCCTCTAAGGCGCGCAAGGACACGAGTACTGAAAGAAGGATAATTAAAGTTAATATAAGAAATTGAAATTACATATTCTTTGTTTGAGAGTGTTTAATTCGGGGTCTTTTTCTCTATATCTATTCTTTCCTTTTATATTCCCATGATAATTTCTGCGTGACAAACCGTTTAGAAACTGCTACCCATTTTCTTCATGGTGCCTAATTTGTTGTGGAACTGTCATCTCTAATTGCTGCCATTATTCCTCGTTGTTCAACTGCCTTCAAAGCCGCTTCTTAATCGTGGAATGTGATAATTAGCTCGATAACTGTCATCAATAACTGCTATTATGGATGACCATAATATCTCACGTATTAGGATTCTGGGCGACTCGAAAGTTTGGGCGAAAACGAGGTTGTCGCTCTGAACGACAGTGGGGCACTCCATTCGTCCAAACTCTAGGCGTCATGCAGGCTTGGACGATGATGTTACTGTGTTCGTGGGTTCCCTCTGCACTTACCAATAACCTTATTTGGACATTTGTCCTGGACCTCCAATTAGGCTTCACTTTTTGAGCTATTCAATTTGGGCTGTACTTTTAGTGTGTCAACACAAGTAATATATTTTATGTTGGACAACCTATTGTCTTGTGTGTATGCGTAAATGTCACAAGGAGAACAATGGTGTCCGGTTGCAGAGGAGCAGAGTGGTCAGAGGTGGAGAAAATGGAAAGAATTGAAGGGGAGAGTTCGATTTAGGGTGAAAAAGATTAATTTGCAATACAATTTTGCCTCCACGTGGATTCCACTACACATCAAGATTAATGGAAGTATAGTAAACATGAATAATTATGCACGCAGTGCTAATCGTTGCACACCGAATACCTCAATTTTGAAGGTTGGGAGCGAAAAGCGTAGTGAGTGTGCAATTTTTTCAATTTTTTTTTATTATTATTTTTAAATTTCAAATTATAGCAATTTTCTCATTTCTTAATTTGGTTGCCCTATCAATTCTGCACAATATCTATTCGTGGGTCGTCAAAATGTTTACGTAGAAACCCAAGAAGGGAAAAATTACGGACAGAGAAGGAAAAATTCACTATATCGAATACGAGTACATAGATCGGTGTTTTAATAGCTTTTTTCCAAATATATAATAAATCCTATAATACATCATATATTTAATCTAGATTTTATATGGTTATTAAAGTTTTTCCAAAAAAAAAATAGAACGGTAAAAGAGACTTTTCGAAGGAAAATTTTACAAAGGGTACTCGATTTCAAGAATAAAAACCATCAATATTTTATCTGGATCTTCCATTTCTATGCATCGATTATTATAAAATCTAAATCCTACTTTTGTCAGCCAAAATCTTTCACAATTTTAACGTTGCTCGACTGATAAAATGTCACCTACATCCCTATTAATTTAAGTCAAGAAAAAATTTTAGATATTCAAATGGCATCAGATTCTCTACTTCTTGCCACTTATTTTTCCTTCAAAAATATCCACATAATTGTCACAAATCCATGGTGCATTTGACGAATATATTCTATAATTGTCACAAGCCCATCGGCATAATTATGAACATGAACTGGGGCCCAGAAGATAATTCATTATATTCTCATTTTACGACCGGTCAACGTTAACGTTATTATGAAATTGTTTATAAGTGTTGTAAAAGTAATATTTGAATATGCATTGATATTAATTAATTTAGAGTTAATATCAGAAAATATATATGTGATAATGAATGTTAAATCATTTATTTAATTTTCGATTAAGTAAAATTGGAGATTAATTGACATACACGGACGTGAATAATAATGAAAAACATTTTTAAATGTGAAATTCTAATTAATTTATAAATGAAAATGAATATTAATTAAAACTCTGTAAATATTAATTAATCGAGAATTAATAATGTGGAATTTTATACATCGATGAAAGCAAACAAGTGAAATGAATCTCTCAAATGTATGCCAATTTATAGTAATTAAATGGTTAAATAAATTAAATATATATTAAAAATGAAAAATAAATTATTATTGAAATAATTGAATTATAGTATGATTAGAATCGTCCCAACAATAATTTTCATTTGATATGATATTTAATATATTATAGATAAATAAAAAACGGAATTCGGATTTTTTTGTGTATCATCTCACAAAACAAGAATATAAACGAATATCTTAAAGAAACAAACAAGAACATTATGGTGTGGGACAGACAAGAATGGCACACACGTGACACGTGAACTTAATGTATAATTCATATAAAAATAAATGAAAACTACAAAAAATGAATTTCTTTATATTTTAAGAAAAGATGATTAATTTCCGTAAAATAGTACGAAGTCCCAAAATACGAGCGACACTTCAATTTTGTAGGCATTTTTGCTCTCATGGATCGTCTTTATCTATCTTACTTTCGTCTAAATGAGTGAATATTTTGAGAGATAATACCAAAATTAGATAATATATCATAATGTACTTATGGACGACATGATTTCAAAATAAAAATAAAAATAAAATTATATCCATCAAATAATTACAAAATCTAATATATAAAGTTGAATGAAAATAGAAATTACAATTTATATTAGAAACAAATATATATTTGACAAGTTAAAGATAAATGAATATAGAATGCTCCGGAATATTTTCACTTTTAAGTCGGACCAACAAATATACGTTTCTTTTGTTTGGTAGAGATTTTTTTTAAAATATAATTTGTTTTAAAAAAAAATTTGGAGAGTATGTGATTAATATTTTTTTAAAAATTATGTATTTACCGTTCATATACAAAATTGTTTTATTGAAATAACGCGTGATTAAAAATGGGAATTCGAGGTAAATGATGCCATACGTTTGCTTAAAAAACTCCATTGACTTCAATGAAATTAAGTGTTCGTTTGGTAAAAATTAAAATCCAATTAAAATTGAAAATATAGTGGTTATTGGGTCCCACTCTAATAAAAATCAACAATAACGATTAATTTTTCAATTTTAATTCGATTTTAATCTCTGTCGAAAACGGCATAAAACTTAAAAAATAGTAAAAAACTGAAAATTACAAAAATTGAAAATAGTAAAAAATAAAAAATAAAAATAAAAAACACCACTTCACCTGATCCCTCTTTCCTTTTCTCCATGTAATCGAAAGAAACCCTAGTTATTTCCGTCTCTCTGCAAATCCAGGCTTTTCTTGGTTGTTCGATCCTTCATAGAAAATCCTGAAATCCGATATATATTGCTTTGATTCTTGCACATACAAATACTAGGAAGTAGTGATATTAATTTAGATAAATATGTATAGAGATCGAGTGGGAGGGGGGTCATCGAAGGGAGGTGACATGCTGGATCGGAAGCGAATCAACGATGCGTTGGACAAGCACTTGGAGAAGTCTTCACCTTCCACCTCCAGGAACAAGCCCTCGACTGTCGCTGTACCCTCCGCCGCTGGGAAGCATCTCGATCAGCGTGACACTCGCTCCTCGTCCACCCTTGCCACCAACAAGAACAAGTTCTCTAACAGTATGTGATTTTTTTGAATATTGGATTTTGTGGTTAATTTTTTGGTTTGTTTTTGGAATTCCTAGTGGCCTTTTTAGAGGAAATATAGTTGGTTGTTCTGATTGGAAGATTGACAACTGATTTATGTTTTTCGTTGCAATCTTGAAAAGTTTTTATTTTATTTTCAAAAAATATGTATTTGCTAAAAGTAAAGAATCCTTTTAAAAAACCAATTTCATTCTACGGATATTTCAATTTTTACTTATTTTAGTAAAAAGTGTTCTGTTGCTGGCGTTCTCTAGATCATGAGCTAAAATTATTTCTCTTTAGAGCTTTGCGGGAGTGTAGCATTGAAGTGGAGTTGGAATTTAAGGCAGTATTTTAATCTGTTGAAAAGTTCACTTTGCTTTTTGATTCTGGTCGAGTCTGATATGAAATTTTGTGGAAAAGAGTTGAGAATATGGAAGTCTGTAGTTTAAATGGTTTGCGTGTATATGACGGCTTGAATTAAATTTTTCTTTGCTAACAGATGAATGGAAGGATGTCTATATGCCAAGTCATATCAGCAATGTTGTTGATATGTGCGTCACTAAAATGAAATGAATGTTCATGTTTTATAATTTTGGGAGTTTTGTGCAGTAGTGATGGCTTTCAGCTTTTATCAGCATAAATCAAACGTTTTATCATCTTGTGTTTCAGTTGCTTGCCATAATTATATCTCAAAATATGAAACATTATTCCTCATATTTCTGGTATGTGAATGCAATTAGAATATACATAAACACTTATGTTTGTGGATGGATTAGAAATGTATATAGCAATATTGATAGTTCTGACCATGTATGCATGTATATTGGGATGGTGTATAACATAGATTTATGCATATGCTTTGATCAAGGGAAATCAGATTGTAATGCTGACGTTAACCTCCTTTTCAGATGAATCTGAAACAGATAGTGAAGAATCTGATGTTAGTGGTTCAGATGGGGATGATACATCGTGGATTTCGTGGTTTTGCAACTTGCGGGGAAACGAGTTATTTTGTGAAGTTGATGATGAATACATTCAAGATGATTTCAACCTTTGTGGGTTGAGCAGTCAAGTTCCATATTATGATTATGCACTTGACCTTATTCTGGATGTTGAATCCTCCCATGGTAAGCTTTTTAGCATGTTTAGTCATTTTTTTGGCTGCTTAGAGGAAAATTCTTGGGTTGATTGTGTGCTTTTGCAGCTGTAGTTCTGTTCTGACTCTGGTTAACTTGACTGCAGCTCTAAGTTTCAATTTTTTTCTATTTAAAAAGAAAAGATCTATATTTTTACAAAATTGGACATAATTAATCAAAACCTGAGAGATCCTTGCTTGGTGCAACTGCAGCATGTTTATCCTTTTCATAAATACAGATTGGTCTGACTGTAAAATCTGTAAAACCAAAAACACAGCGTCTCAGCACACATAAGAAGGGAATGAATGAAAGCGAGTGAAATTCACTTTTCATGTTCGGGAGTGATTGGGTAATTAGAGGGAACGAGTTGAGGACTAATTTAGTTGTTGTATCATAATGCTGTGGAAATGAGTTGGGCTGATGTACATGTTAGCATCTGTTTCTTTTTATATTTTTTTATTTTTTATTTTTTTTGGGGCTGGTGCGAGGTGAGTAGAGATTAAACCACAAAGCTGTTAGGTAGTCTTAAGTTACGAGATGGTCGGTTTCTATTCTAATTAATAAAGGGCCTTTGGAGATTGGATCATTGGCCCTAGTAAAAAAATTAGGTATATCCCTTTAAGCAATATAGTTATACTTTTACCGGATGCATTATCTTTTGTTGGTTTTTCCTCAGTTGCGATCTGTCTTAATTAAATGTAGTAGATGGGGAAAAAATTGCTAACCTGAGACTTAGTTCAAACTGATATCTAGGAGTTTGATTGTAATTTTCTAAAAAGATTTACACGCTCTTTTCATGATCATACATATTTCAGCTTCTGCACGAAGCTTTGGTGCAATCTTAAGGGATAATGTGTTGTAATCATAACCTGACATTGTCCAGATGCCTCTAGTGAAAGTAGAATTCAGGTTTAGTCTTGAAAGAAAATTTCTTTCTAATTTCTTATTAGTAGTTGACTAGGTAGAATGAAAAGGATTCAATTTCTAGTCTAAAATGAAATAAGCAGACTATAATTAGCTGTATTTTATGAATTTAATTTTTTTGTTAAGAAAGAAATATATCTATTTCTCAGCTTTTTTTCTCTATTGAATGCAGTAACATGGATTCTTGTTGGTTGTGAAAACCGAAAAGGTGAAAACCCTGGTTGAATATATTATGGCTACTTAAAACTAAAATAACACCAGAAATTTAATGTCGCCAAGCAATTTTTATATTGTTGCAATGAAAATATTCTTTAGATTTTTTTATTTTAATTTAGAGCATAGAGTACCATAAAATCTGGACTTCTCTAATTTCATAGGAGCTTTTCCTTCTTAGATTTTGCCTATTCAGAACTTCTAAGATGCTTTAGCACTGTTTTACGACTTTGGAACTTATATCCATTGCCCTCACAAGTAAATAGCCTCTCAATATTATACATTTTTATCAATATGGGCTGTTTTCAGTTGTGTCTCCGAGCTCGCCCATAATTTTTTTTCTGGCTGGGTTTCCCAAATGCCAACAGGCAGTACAACTGCTGATTGCAACAATTACAGGCTTTATATGCTTTCATTAATTTAGGTGGCTTCATTAACTAAGGGTTCTGTTATTAGAGATGGCAGTGGGACGGGTTCTGTGCGGGGCGGGGTGGGTGAGGGGCACGGGCCTGCCCTTTTTTCCTGAATTTTCAGCTAAAATACAAATTCAAAATTTTAAAATTCATAGCAAATAATGTTCAAACTAAGTACATCAATATCCAAAGCGAGCATTTGAAACAAAGAGTGTCCAAAACATTTTATTTTATTTTTTATTCTTCACGGGGTGGGTTCGGGGCGGGACGGGACGGGTTTTTTTGCCATCACTATCTATTATATATTTGATAATTATGTCTATAAACCAATTCGTTTCTTCTTACTAGAATTTTATATGTTAGTTGTCACTGACCCATTTTCATCTCCCCACTTTTAATCCCAAATATGATTTTGGAGATAATGTTTTCTGTATTATGGTCACATAGGTGACATGTTTACTGAGGAACAGAATGAGTTGATTGAATCAGCCGCTGAGATGTTGTATGGCCTTATTCATGTCCGATATATTTTGACGAGCAAGGGAATGGCTGCAATGGTAACATTAGAAGCCATATTATTTTTTTGATTGGCTTTCTTGTTATTTTCAGTTATCTCATTTAACTTCTTGAGATGGAACTGCTACAGTTAGAGAAGTATAAAAACTATGAATTTGGAAGATGCCCAAGGGTTTACTGCTCTGGACAGCCTTGCCTTCCAGTTGGACAATCAGACATTCCACGTTCAAGTACTGTGAAGTTGTACTGTCCCAAGTGTGAAGATATTTACTACCCTCGATCTAAGTACCAAGGCAGTATCCTAATAGCATTTCTAGACTTTTATCCCGTTTCTTTTGCCTTCTTGTTTGAATAGGGTGCATGGATGCTAATCACATGGATACACACACATGCACACAAAATGAATGCACCCACCCCCATCTAAGGACTTATTGGCTATAAGGGAAACAAAATTTATATACATTTTTTTTTGGGGTCTTGTTAAATTAGCATCATGACTTGACTGGTACTCACTTCATACTTGACTGAAGATTTAACTCTATTACCATCAATACTCGTTGCTCGCCTTTTGACCTTCCATTATGCTGACCTGATACATTTTAAATTCTTCTGTACTATTTAAGCCATTATCATTAGCCTGATTTTGGCAAATTTCTTTTTTTCATCGAGTATTGCACTTTTCTCATTCTCAACATTGTATCTTGTAAAGATTACTTATGAAATGCTATATTTCTGGAATGTTGATTGACAAAAAAAATTGGTAGATTTCTTAGATAATGCACAAAGCCACGACAGGTCTGGAACAATTTGTCAGTAAATTACACTTTTGAATGATTTCCTTGATTCCCTTAGATATTGATGGAGCTTACTTTGGAACAACGTTCCCTCATCTCTTCTTGATGACTTACGGACACCTCAAGCAACAAAAACCCACACAGAGCTACGTCCCACGAGTATTTGGCTTCAAGCTTCACAAGCCTTGATGAAGAAGATTTCAATCGCACCATGTCATCTCAATTTTCCTTGCCAGTAACCGGTTCTCCTTAGGCTTCCACAATGTTCGAGTGGGTTGTAACTGCCAGGCAAAGAACGACAGCTATTCATTTGTGGAAATTGATGAAAAAGCAATTCTGGTGTCTTTTAGGCAAATTTGTCGTTAAAAATTTGTCTCTGAATTCAACAGAGCATATGTAAGTTTTGTTACTGTTTGAAATGTTATTCTATTTCGCGTGTGCATAATTATTCGCACATTATAATATGAATATTAGGATTCTATCATTTAAAATAGATTAAGTTTCAAATTATACTATATTAAATGGGATGGTACAAATTAACATTGTGTCAATTTATATAATAAACAAGGTCGACCATGAGAATTTACAGGCCCGAGTAATTATTATGAGGTCCCATAATTTAATTTTTTTGCAAAATTAGTAATCAAACAATTTGAGATGCAAGATTAGTAGTCATATGTATATATATATACACACACACACACAGAGGTGGCTTGAGCCTAGGGCAGCCTTGATAATAGAAATAAATAAATTAGAATTTGAAATTGGAGAGCCACGTTAAAGACGTGAATTAACTTCCCTACCTGCAGGTACCAATGCTTCAATACGATTTCAAGATAAATCCCTTGTATTCACGTTGAGATTATGTCATAAATCAAAATTGTATGTGGGAGTCAAATGAAAAGTTCGGGAATTGTTTGATCCTTTTGCTCTATAGATTTATATGTAATTATGCAAGTGAAGATATTCTACAATTTGTAAATATTCAAATCAAAAGTAAATGAGAATAAGTGATAGTTGATATTCACGCAAGAATATCCACTTTAAGCCACTGTTTGGTGAGGGAATTAAAATCAGATTTTTAATAGATTTTAATAAAAATTGATGAAATACGTGGTTAGAAGGTTGTGAGTCATAGAGAATGTGGTTAAAATTAGTTGTTGATTTTGATTTAGATTAAAATCTGAATTTTAATTTCTACCAAACAAGGGGCTAAATTTAAATAGATTGTTTGAAAACTATGTTTGAGCTTCATTGTTTCGACTTTCGAAAATGTGTAGTTGAAAACGAGTTTGACGAAAAATAATTTTTTTTAAAAAATATGGGCTCAAACAAGGGCTTAATGATCCATGCAGTTCCCCGAGACAAAGAGGTAAGTTTGGGAAATAGGATTATTGTTGAAGGATATGGACTCTAGAATTGTTGGTGTCATTTGAGAATCGAAAAACAATTTGGGACTCGATTATAATATTTGAAAATATGAAAAACCGAACTGTAAATTTAGAAAAAGCTGATGTTTATAATACTTAGAAGTGAGGTATCATTTTGAAGATGATCATAAGTTGTATCTGAAGTTTACATATACAACTTTACAGCTAGATAAACAAACAACAAAAAAACTGTCATTCCATCTATTAAAAACGTTCATAAAAAACCATAGTTTATTTTAGTATTACTTTTTTCAGTTTATCGCTGATTAATCATCACGTAACTACAATAATGTGTCTGTCAGTGATTTCATTTGCCACGACATGAGCCCGTCAAATTTTCTAAAGTTGAGTTATTGAGCGATGGATTAGATAACGATTCGATAAGTTCAGTGACCATCTGAAGAACTTTTAAAGTTTTGATGGCTAATATGATAATGATTTGATAAGTTCGATGACCATCCGAAAAAAAAAAATTAAAATTTAATGGTCAATGAAAAGTATTGTGCAAGGTCCGATAGAACTTTTGATTTTTAACTCGCATGTTGCAGAAGATTGGGAGTCTCCATTTACACATTATTCAGCTGCTAAAACTCAATTATTGATTCTATGTTGCAAAACTTGATGTGCAGGATGAAATAAGAAGAGATGAAGGGGATTTTTCAGTGTAGGTATTCGGTTTTAGAAAACGGATTAATGATGGAAAAAGGAAAAATTGGAAGATAAAAAGTAAAAACAGAAATGAGATGAATTCGGGTGGAAGTGTGAGATTTGGGGTGAATTGTAATTAAAGTACCATTTCTCTTGGATAGTTGAATCAAATAAATCCATGGTTCGAATTGATTCTGGTTTTAAGAGAATTGACCAAAAACAAAGATTGATGATCTTTTTTTTAAGGAAACTATTGGTTCCATATGCAATAATGGAACCGAACCAAAACAAAAAAATGCAAATTATAAATATAGATTTAATTAGATTTCGTTCATCATTCATAAACGGATTATATATGAATCTTGTGTGTGCTCTTTAACTTGAAAGCCAGGTGATCCTGGTGGCAAAGAAAGGCAGCAAATAGAGGGGCGGGGCACATTAAGATCCAGTGCAGGCATGTACTTTTGGGCCCAATCCAATCACTTTTAATTTATTTAGGGCTCGTTTGATTCTCGTTATTGTAGAATGAGAATGAAAAATATCGTTGTTATTGAGCCCCACACAAGATATAGAAATTCAAAATTGAAACTTGATGTGATGATAACGGTCATATTTTTCATTTATATGGATGAAAAATGAGAAACAAACGAAGGCGTATTTTTTCATAGAAAACCCAAATTCAGTGGCTCGCTGATTAATGGTGCCGCATCTGATAGTACAACCAAGTACACCAACCACACTGTGGGTGACTCTGCCAGGTGGTTCTTCAACTCCACTAATAAAACTTCTACGAATTTCTCTGCTTGGGCTGCCAAACATACTTTCAGGGCCTATTTGTTTTGGATTAAAATATGATTTTAATCTAAGTCAAACAACAATATTAACCATATTTTTAATGGGTCTCACAACTTTTCAACCACGCATTTCAACAATTTCTATCACAATCTACTAAAAATCTAATTTAAATCCTCATCAAACACCCTATCAATCTTGGTGACTATTTAAGTAAGTTTATGCTATGCTAATTTCTGAATTTTTTAAAGTTAAATATGAGTTTTTTAGTTTCAAGATTCCTGATTTGATCGTACTATTTGATTTTTGATATGGGATTTCTTGCCACAGATTTTCTAGGCATTTGCTTTCTTTGGGTATATAGAATGGTTTGGTTGCGATTAGTATTCTCTGAATTTCAAGAATTCTTTAGGGCATCGATTTTGGGTTTGAAACCAACTAGATTTACATCATGTAATCTAATACATCCCATAAAATTGTTTCTTCCCTTCAGTTCCTATATTCATACTAGCAGTTCATACTGGTTTGACATTGAGTATGAGCTTACTTAAAGACTTGGTGGAAAGAGTAAAGAATGCCCAAAAGATGTTTGTTGCTTAGTCTAGGAAAGAGGAAATATGACCGTAAAGAACTCATGTTTCTTTACTCTCTAGCCTGCGAAAATTGCTTAATAATTGGCTTGGAAATCACGTAAAGTATGTCAAAGAAATGTCCCACTTTAATTAATGAAGCAAACTAAATTGTTTAATAATTGGGCACTCGTTCTAACAAAGAGTTTGAAGGCTATGACATCATGAAGAAAAGTTAGTTATGATAAAGAAAAGTACAATAACTTTATTGGTTCACAATTTTTTGACTTAACGTTAATTCTACCGATTGCTACCACTACCGAGTATTTTCTGCAATGAACATTATAAATGATAAATTGCACAATCGGAAGCACTGTTATTTAATGATAGCACAATTGTTTATACAGAGAAGAATATATTTTTGAAGACTGATAATAAAGCCACTATACAAAGATATTAAAGTATAAAAATCCACAAAGAACAAGTATAATTTATAAACCATATCATTTTTAATATTGTTGTAATATTGTTTTATATTTTTATCATCAATAAATCTATGAACAACAACTAAAAGTTCGGCATTGATTAAAATGTGCCTGTACTAAACAATATTTCTAGTTTCACCCATAAATGAACAATTCTCTTGGAACCAAAACCAACTCAAAGCATGGCTCTATTTGTTCAATCATGTCTAGTAACCTATGTCACAGATTTTAAATCTCCTGCCTAAAGAATATGCCTAAAACAAGAAACTTGAACCAATTTAAGAAACCAGTTGCAACTTATCATCAATACAAATTTATTTTGATGTAAAGCAAATTCAAATCACCAAATTAACTTCATAATAACAAAAATGCACAAGACTACTGATTCTAAATCAAGCTCGTGGCATAATTACAAGGTCGTGTGATGGAAAATTCAATCTTGAATACTTATTACAGCCATGGCAACTTAGAGAAAATCTAGTGGAGCCTATTGCAACGTAATTCAACCAAAACGTTATTCAACCATGACGGCAAAGCATTCAGAAAAAAAAATAACAAATCTGACGATAACCAAATTTTATAAATACCTGCAGCATTACAAAATACTTAAAAGAACCAAACTGGATGCGCAAACATGCAATGCGAACGGGTCGAAGGACTTCGTGCTTTTAAGAGTTTTAAGATTTATATTTAAAAAAAAAAGTACACAGATATGCCACTACTAAGAGTACTCAATCGAAACTTTAAAGTTGAAAACGGCGACAAATACCACTGCAGCAAAATTCACTAAATTTAACTCTCAGTCTGCTCCCTTAGCCTTCGGATGGTGCTTCTAACGGTCACGGCACTAGCAGTGCTGTCAAAAAAACAAAACACTTAGGCTTTTTTAACATGCATGTTAATTATGACATAAAGCAAAACTAAGATAAGTATTTACTTCAAGGTGTAAGCACCGCCGGCTTTGACTTTGCCGCAATCCTTGCAGCCCCAAATTCCTACGGCCTTCCTCTTTACAGCATACTGCAAAAAAATAGGTGGCATTTGTGAACATGCTGATCACAGCAACAAATACTAGATAAACAACTCGAAAAGCTGAAAATTTGAAGCATACCTTCCCACAGAACTCGCAGAAATACTTGCTGTGTTGACTAACTTCCATCTTCTTAATCTGCTTCCTCAAACTAGCACCATAACGGGTGCCTGAAATGGTACAAGATGCAATTTAGAAAATAGAAATATGAAATAAAAAGCCAGCTAGACGGCTA